TGACCCTGAGTCCAGCACAGGCCAGGTTACAAATGCAGACCTCCTGACCCTGAGTACATCTCACTTAAATCATAAGACCACCATGTCTCCACAAGAGGAGAGAGTTAAATATGCTGAATTCTTTTTCATAAGAAACACATTTTACAACACCAAAGAAAAATTGTCTCATCTGATTTTTAAATAGGGATTACTAGTCAAAACTTATGAAAGATATATTTCTTTAATTCAATTTCTTACTGTTGAGCTGAATTCGATATTCATATAGGTGAAGGTAATACTTCAACTGTTACACTTATTGCTGGAAAAGCAGTGAAACATATACATTTATGCGTGCTGATATGTGTGTTGAAATGGATTTCAATTTGGTACAGGTGAAGACATTTGTGGTTTACTGGTATATATATATCTCACTGATTGTTTTTGTATTCATTTCATGTTTACATTGTTTTGTGCACAAAATTGATTTGTCTTTAATGCTAACTTTAATTTTCCTCATAATCAAGATGGCTTGGTTTTTAAATATCAAATAATCCTTACTGGCTGTCTTCATGTACAAATAAATTCAATAAAAACTAGAGTAACAAGGAAATCAATTGTACTGGAATTTAAAATAGCCAGAGATACATATACAGTGTAGATTTTTTTAACAAAAGCCAGTACTACCTTCTAACTAACCAGTTAAGCACCAGGGCTTTAATTTACTTGAGAATATTGGCCCATTAGGTTGTGGCAGTATAGGAATGGCAAAGTACCAATATTCCCCAGTACAGCTCAAGAAAGCAAGGTAATTGTCATGCACTAATGGACTAAACTAGTTTGCTTTGAATTTACATGTTTTATGATTGTCTGTTAATGGTGCGATGATGATCTAGGTGGCAAAATCCTAACCAAGTAAGAACCAACCAGAACTTTTTATTTACCCCAAGCCTAGCCATATGATAACATAAATTATCACCAGACACATACTTGGATGCGTGCTGCCACATGCAGAACTAAACCAGTTTTGATGTGATCATTGATCGATCATATATTGATTAGAAGATGACAAAAGGTAAAACTTTACTCAGATACCAATCAATCATTACCAGTTGATGAATTGGACTCCTAAAACTTGAATGTAGTTAATTGAAAGGACGCTTCCAACAAATCACTAGCCGGCATTTGAAGAAAAATCAATTTGTCTTAATATTTAACAAGGAAATCTGTATAACAGTACAGTTTGGAAGGACAATCTAAGCAGTCTATCCTAAAGAAAAAATTACTTTCAAACTATAAAATTATAAACATAAACACATGAAATAAGCTGGAAATGTTTACCGCTTTTTAATTAAATGCATCTTAAATACGGAAGGAATTTCAGTTAACACGTAATCCAGATATGAAAGCTAGTGCAAAACACTTTCGTGCGCATGCTCCACATACACATGAAACGCAAACGAAACTGAAAGTGTTTCGATCATCCGCGCTTGCACTAAATCAAATCGGTAATTTGGAGATTCCTTTTAACTCTCTCAAATTAATTTTTTTAGATGTAAATGCCAGGTATTGACTGAGAATTTTTGTGAATTCGACAGTTGCAGAGATTCCAACCCCATGTGATGGAAAATAGGGAGTAATTATTAGTGCCAAAGGCGCGAGCTTCTAGGGGGGTCAGGGGGCATGCCCCCGGGAAATTTTGCAAATTTAGGTTCTCTCAAGTGCCATTTCCTGAATTTTGACATCATTCCGGCCTGAGTTATAACATACCATAATGCTCTTCGCGAAGAAAGTAAGTATAATATGAGTGTTTCACAGTGACAGATCGCCAAAAATTCTAAAGATTAGCAATTTTCCCCTAGTTTTCAGAATTTTATGATAAATCGGGAGAATTTGGTAAAAATCGGGAGAGCGGGAGGCAAGACATCAAATCAAATCGGGAGGGTTGGGATCTCTGCAGTTGTAACATATTCGTGTAAGCTCAGCTCAATTAGCTTACAAGTAACACTAAGCATCAATTAATACACGCCAGAATCGAATAAAAGTTGGCAATCCTCGTCATTTAACTGCAGAAACGTCTCCCATTGCCGGAAATCAGGGAAAATTAGGACAGATTGAGAACATTTGAAGGAGAAATTGTTAACTGAGAAACTCCAAATAAAAGTATTTATCTTATATTCACAAATCTGATTCAACCATGCGTTCTTACTTCTGTCGCGGAAATGGAAGGCACATTTGACTGATTTACGACTTTGATTCCTCAATCCGTCATGGAAATGTTTCAAAGTAAGTCACCAAGACTGAGAAAGTACCAAGAAAGACTCGAAAGCTCTGTTGTAGAGCAAAGAATCTCAATGGCGAGTTGCGAAAATGAAAGGAGAGTCCCCTGGCCCATAAGTCTGTGCAGCCGGAAGTGCCTACTCAACGTGTTTATTTACATAAAAATTAAATATTTCTCGCACGATTCTCGCATTTTTTTAAGGTCCACTACAATATTTCATCTCACTTACACAAGTTCTCATTAGCACTCTTAAGAGTTAATGTCACCATACACCAAACAAACAGCGGCAAGTCACCCAAATTTGTTTTCACTCCTACTTTCATATTTTGTAGTCCAATATGTTCTAATAATTGTGGTGTAGTTTTTTTGTAAAAATTGTTTTAGTTTTCGAGAATTAATTTCTTTCGTTCGACCGCTCAAATATGCAAATTTTCACCGTGAATATTACCCGAGTTGTGTGACCTCACGTAACGAATGTACCAGACCTACTGTATTTCTGTGAACACAATTCTTTGTTTTATCATCTAAACTTAATCTCCTGTCGTTATTGAAGCTGGCAAAGAAATATTTATTTTTTGGTGAATATTTTTGTCCGACATACTTTTCCTATGTCGAAAAGTAGTATCAAAACAAAGACAGTTTTAACAATGACCTATAGATTCTGTACAGAATCTACTGATCAGTAGATTCTGTACAGTCACAGTAAACAGCAAACAGTACCAGTATGGAAGTTCTGTCCATTTACATTTATATGATTGCACATGTAGATGATTCCATAATATATAGCACCACATAACATTTTTCGTCGAGTATAATGGCACCAGATTCAGAAGGAATATTCTTATGCGGTGAATTTCTGGGGTTCTGCTTTTTTCAATACAACCTGAATTCAAGATCCTCTATTTGCAATAGTGGACAAACTTTAACCAGCAGATTATTTAGAGAGAAAATTAAGGAAAATCATTTTGTTTATTCATTAGTTAAGTGGCGACCGGCTTTAACTTGCTTCCGAATAGCTGGCAGATGGAGCAAAACTCTTGACCAATCACTTTACGATGTAAAGCGAAACTATTACGAACGATGACACTGCTCATTTGTAGACTTCTTTTTACTTCTGGAATAAATAGATTCATGGTCCTGTCATTCGCCTATTTGTTGTTTTTTTATTCTTTCTTTACTTACTGACCCTAACAGACTAAAGTCTTTCATATTCAAACACAATATCGCATTTTTCACTTTTAATTTACATGTATTGATGTCACAAAAATACCAGCCCTCATTTTTAATTTACAACAGCCGTCAACATAAACAATAGCCAAACTTCCTGTATTCTTTTCGTTTAAGTGCTTTATGCAAAATAAGTGTTTAATATAATGCCTTACCGGTATTTCTTTCGGTTGGAATATGTAAAAATATTTTGTCTTTAAAGATGTCTTCCGTGTAATCAAACGAATTTATTAATTGGGAAACATATTTGAAGCGCTCTTTAATATAACTGACTATAATGTTTCGTTTATTCATGATGATAGATGAAAAATATGTTAATGACAGCTTTTCTTTAAATCACCTTTTTTTAGGTATAAATCCCATGTTTAGTTGGAATGTCTTGAAGTATTAAACAGATAATTTGTTTTAGTTCTAACTAACGCCGAGTTAAAGCGATACTCGATGCTTCTTGAAAAAATACAAATGCCGGAGTTGAAGCCGGGGACATCTTGACTGTTCGTACAGATGGCTTTGATTGTGTTATATGCTTGTGATTGACAGCTACATATGACTTAAAATTTTCCGTTTTAGAATTGGAGAATATCAGAGTCACAGTAGTTTTAACGCTCAGCTCTCATGGCGGAAAACGTTTGCAACCTTTTTAACGAGTTTTTCTCTAGAACCTCTGCGACTAAAAGTCTCAACCTTGTCAACAATAACCCGCGCACTTACTAACTTAGGCAAAAACAGAAGGTTATACATTTTATGCTAATTACACAAAGTACAAGGAGCTCCACGCCTTTCACTCAGACAGTCAGTCGGTTTTGTAAATTAAACCTCAATTTTCATCTCTTTAAATTGTAACCTGCGCTAATCACCGTTGTTCTCGGCTTTCCTGGTTTTTTTTTTTTGTTTTTGTTGTTATCTTGGAACTTTTATAAGTGATTGTCTACCACAGCAAAGATATACTTATTCAAAATAGACGATTCCCTTTGGAGATGAAGAGACCTCACATTATATGACGTAGCTTCTTAATAACTCCATTCGGTGGAAGAGTAGTTGGCTATGTACAAAGAATAACGACGAATGTATTCAGTGTATTCAAACGAATTTAATAATAAAGAAGTATATGTCAAGCGCTCTATAATTTAACTGACTTTAGTGTTTCGTATGTTCATTTTGATAGGTGAAAAATATGTTAATGACAGCCTTCTTTCAAATAACTTTTTTCAGGTATAAATGCCATGTTTAGTTAAAATGTCTTAAAGCATAAAACAAATAATTTGTTTTAGTTCTAACTAACGTCGAGTCAAAGCGATACTCGATACTTTTTTCAAAAATTCAAATGCCGGAGTTGAAGACATCGTGAATATATGTACGGATGGCTTCGATTATGTTACATGCTTGTGATTGACAACTACATATGACTTAAAATTTTCCTTGTTAGAATTGGAAAATATTAGAGCCACAGTAGTTTTAACGCTCACCTCTCATGGCGGAAAACGTTTGCAACCTTTTTAACGAGTTTTTCTCTGGAACCTCTGCGACTGATTTTAAAGATTTTCGTCCAGCACTGGTCGCTACTTGTGTCTTCAACAGTTTTTTGAGTTATACAACCGTCATTTTGAACATCGCTACCATCCATGCGATAAAGAAAACTGCGTTGTCACCAAAACCTTTGAGAACATTATTACTGAGCCTGGCTGCCTCCGATGTTGGCGTTGGTTTTTTGGTCCAACCGCTCTACATTTCTACTTTGGTAAGCGGCTTAAAACAAAAACGTATCGACTGCATCTCCTATAAGGGCTTGTTGGTTGCTATCAATTTCTTTTGTTTATCCTCGCTTTTTAATGTTGTAACCATAAGCGTGGACAGGTTCTTAGCTGTTTATCTTCATCTCAGATATAAAGAGCTTGTAACCCACAAGCGCGTCATTGCCGCGGTGATATCAATATGGCTGTTTAGCGCGATTATTTCTTCTAGTGTCTTATACGATTCACTGTTTATCATCTCACATGTCGTATGGTTCGTGAACATAACTGTTTGCCTCATTCTGGTGGTAATTGTCTACTGGAGGATTTATGTAGTCTTAAAGCAACACAAAAACCAGATTGAAGGCCTTCAAATCCAAGAAGTACAACAGGAGGTCCAAAATGGCGACTTATCAAACTTTTTGAAGCTTAGAAAGTCAGCACTTGGAACATTTTACGTATGTATTGTGTTCATGATTTGTTATTTGCCTTCCTACATTCTCTCTTTTCTACTCCTGGCTCGCCCTTCAAGTCCAATCTCTTTTTACGAAGCTTCGCTCTATACAACGACTTTGTTTTTCCTCAACTCGTCTTTGAACCCTGTTATATACTGCTGGAAGATGGGACCCATTCGTCGCACTCTCATGGACATAATGCGAGGCATCGTCAACCGGTTCAGAGAATAGCATTTGTTATAAGTAATTGTTGTTGTAAATATAAGCCTCTA